TCCGAGGTGCGTAATGTTGCGTAAGCAACGCGGCACCGCGTGCGTACAGAAGGGCCGATTAATCTTGTTGTACCGAGGTTCGTCGGGTATGCGGAAGGGTACGTTTAATCGGCGCAAACTGTATGAACTTGCTGTCTCGCGGACAATTGATACGACGACTCTTTTTTTTCGGCGTTGCTGCACGCGTGTTATTCTTCCCCTTTTTCTTCCTCTCTTTCTCACACATACATACATATACGTACTGACTGTTTTACCTAAGGTGTTATAAAATGTTACCTTCAAGACAATTTATCTGTCAATTTAATTCCTTTTTCTTGCCAGAAATTTAATTCCTTTAGTACATGCGTAATAAAAAGTTCGTAAAACTTTTAATCAATCTCTTTAAATCTTAGCTATACAAAATTGAACAATAACCTTAAAACTGAAGAGAATTCCTCGAAAGTAGAAACATTTACGTATATAAAAAAGTGTTTAATAAGTTACGTAAAATTTTACCGCCATCTTTCGTTCATCTTGGAGAAAATAATTAACCTGGAACGCTTCTTGTACGCGTTCTTAAACAGAGATATATTAGCTTAAATGTGTTATTCAAAGAGACGGAAATCCTCGATCACGGTTCTCGTTTCGTTTCACTGTCACATTACAGAGAGAACGTACACGCCGGTTTCTGTAGTGTCACTCGGTCATTATAATTGCCGTCTGATGATTTTATCAGCGTGTACACGGCTGTTTACCGAGTCGATAATTCTCACGCTTTACCGTAAATACTGCACTGCTCGAAATAATTAGAGGATCATTTGCGCAAATGATTTTATTACCCGGCGAGGAACTGCTGGCAGCAACGTTGCAACATCTAAGCGGCAATTACACGTAAACGTCGCGGACATTTAACAAACGATGTGAAGTTAATTTGCAAGTAGAATATGTTGCAAAAATGTGTATCGTAAATTACTATGTTTGAAGATGGATTTAACGTTGTCAAGCTCTCATGAATAACCATGAAATGTGTTTATATAATTTTTTAAACGAATTGCGCTACTATTTCAACACCGGCGACGGTTCCGTTCGCAATGTTATTACGCTAAGTGCACATTGTTCTTTTTTTTTTTTTCTTTTTCACACTTGATGGATGGTTTGTTTTTTAAACGTTTTGAACGATAGTATTAGGAAGTTTTGTTGAAAAAGAAGGAAAGAAAGAAGAAAGTAGAAGAGAAGAATATTCAGTAATGATTTCATTCTCTACCTGTTTTTGATTTACACCGCTGTTATACTGAAAGACCCAATTACTCTCAGCGAAAACACTTTATTACTTTCTTCACAATTACTCAACAACGTAAGCACCTCATTGTTCTCTCAACAACACTCTTATTACTACAATACGATCTTGCAATTATTTTACGTGCATCGCAGAGCCTTCGAACTCATTAAACAATAGAGATCCCGGTACTTAGCATTACAAATTTCCTCGACATGTAAATGAGGTTTCTAAATACTGCCGTAGGTACCACCGATGAATACCGTATCGTTATTTTCATCTAATCTGATTAGAAACAATTTCTTAATTATTTCGACGAGCATATCTGTTCGACAGAATTTTGTAACTATTTTCCTCGTTAACTGTTGTTTATATGTTAACAGCAGCGCTATTATTTTTTCATTAACACATCCTTGGGTGAATATTATTAATACACTATAGGCAATTGAAGAGACAAAATTTTCTTATTTCTAGCATGAATATAATTTTACGTTATAAGGCATGCGGTTGATGGCTAGAAAATGAATGTATCAATTTGAAGTTTCAAACTATCCAAGTACAGTACAACCACTGTAATACCTCAATTGTATTAAATCGTGAAATTTAACGAAATAAAATACCAGAGAAGTTCGTCGTTCGAAATGAATACATAAATTACGTAAAAATAAATGAAATGAAAAAATTAAATAGAAATAAATTATAAAAAGATCAGATACATTTTCAAGCTAACTAGTTCACAGTGATTCAAATGTTCAACTAGCAGATCCAGATGAAACAGCGAAGTACCACCCTTTAACGAAATGAAGTTTCATGGCTCAGTTGCTTTTTGCTGCATCGCGCTTATTTTCATAACGAACCCGCTGATAAGCGGTATCTCGTGAATTTGAAATCCAATCAACTTTCTGTGATACCTAATCTTTTCGCGTAAATACGTGTTCATGCGTGTGCATGGAAATGATTGATTTTCCTACTCGAACTACCTCGAGACCACAACTTTATTTACGCTGTGTACATATTGTTGTTGTTATTAGAGAACAGATTCTTAGCTACGAGAATTGCAGGCTCCTATCTGTTCAGGCTGCGTCGATAGTTAATTAAGACACTTTACGATCAATCTCATTCTGTTTTTGCCTCTTTCGGAGTCCTGTTGACCTTCCTTCGATACGGCTCGCCTCGGAGAAATTGCCTAAGATCGTGCCTCTCGCAGGAACCACTTCGGGACGGCTCTCGTGTTGCCCTATTTATACGATAAATGAGCGAATAACTTTGATCGTTCGGAATTTTTTCACATACTTTCGCAGTGCTTCGAAATTGTTTAGATTGTTCTTAACGCTTTTTTTTTTCACGTGGTTTTGGAGTAGTTTCTGAAGTAGCTGAAAGAAGAAGAGGATTGTTAAGAATATTTGGTGGAATCATGGAAATTTGTATAATTTTGCAATTTTTTTGTCTGCTTTTGGAATATTTCTCGGGATACTCGGAGTAATTAGGATATTTTTTGAAATACATTTTTAGGAATTGCGACGCTTCGCAGAATTCCTCAAAGTAAAGCTTTTGCTACTCTTAAGAATATTTCTTGGAATTATAAAATTCGTGTAACTTTTCTGAAGGAAGTTTTGCAATTTTTTTGTCTGCTTTTGGAATACTTTTCAGGATACTCGGAGTAATTAGGATATTTTTTGAAATACATTTCGAGGAATTATGACGCTTCGCAGAATTCCTGAAAGTGAAGCTCTGTTATTCTTAGGAATATCTGGTGGAACCATGGAGATTCGCGTAATTTTTCAGTGAGAATTTTCGCAAATATTTTCTACAATAATTACCGCCACTAGAACGTTTTTTAAAACATACTTCTAGGAATTACGACGCTCCACGGAAATCCTCAAAGTCAAGATCAAAGGTTACCCAAATTTTGCGAAGCACCGTCTAATTTTTCTTCCCAAAAGATATCCGTAAAAAATGTTCAACACTCGTTTGCGAATCTGGCTGTCGGTGATTATCCCCGGTGATTATCTCCGCGGTAATAACTTGCGAGATCGAAAAAAATCCACGACCCGTCCAACCTCGATTCTCATTGCGTCGATTTAATCTGCTTATTAACCGGAGAGTGGAATTCTCGTTTCGCGATGGATATTACACGAGGGAGAAGAAAACAAGCGAAAATGTCTCGGATGTTGTCCGAGTTTCCAAAGCGGAGGTATCAAAGGGACAACAATGCTCGCAGGATCGATTACGCCTCTTATCTCGTATCGTTTACCTTGACGTGGGAACGGTGACCTTCGTGCCACTTGTTAAAAAAAAAATAGCATTTTCTTTTATTTCGAGTTTTACGTCACATCGACCTTCATCTCATTAGCGACGACTAGGTCCTGTTTTCTTCGTTTCTATCCGATTATATGTTACGGTAGATGTCGATGTCCTTTAGACAGTTTTAGGTATTTTCTACGTGTTTCCGTGACGTCAAGGCCTCTGTCGATGTTATTTTATATTTTTATCTTTGGGTGTGGTATCTTCTGCATTCGAGTCGATATAATTTGCATACAGACGTTGCACTGGCGGTTCTGCTTTTTTTTTTTATTAGGTACTCATGTGTAAGTTTGCAGTGTCCTGTTCTAAGCCTGGTCATGATTATTCTGTCTTTCCTTTTCATATTGTTGCCAGGCATTGTTTGGTAGAAGTTTTGGGTCACGTCGTGCGTTTGTGTTTTTTTAGAGGTGCTCCATGTATTATTCCGTGTTTGTTGTTCGATATGGTGTAATGCAACAACGAGGTCTTGGTGTGGAGTTCGTCTCCGAATCTTGCCTCTTTGGCGGCTGTGCCAGAGAAGCATATAACGTGTAATAAAAGCGCGCGTACAAGTGTAACGGTTAGAACTTTTCCTATCGACAGGTAAACGGTAAGCTTCCCCTCGGGGGAAAGTGTATAGTAATTCAGTTCATCCCTGGTTTTAGCTGCGAGCTTGAAAAATGACTCACGAAACGATGGAATTCTACGTAATTAGTTCGATGAAATAAAGAAAGGAATCAGTGGAGTGTTCGTAGACGTTCGATGAAGAATAGTACACCTATCCCCCGATTTACACGGTACTTTATTTACACGATTTCACTTTTACGCGGTTTTTAAATTTAGGGCGAAAATTGGGTAATCATTTTCTACAAAATGACCCGAATGTTGAACGAGCTCTCCTATTTCAGCGAGATATTAATAAACGCTTAACTCAATACGAGGAGGTCTATAAAGATCTGATCAAAAACCAAACACAATTGTTAATTACAGATTTCATTACCAAGGCTCGCCGATCTGAAATTGTTTCTAATTCATCGAACTTGAATCGCATCAAGTACTATCGAGTGATGAAAGTGACATCATACCAACCAGGAATAAAAGATTAATAGTCGACGAAAGTGATAACAGTAATGAAATTTTTGAATTTATACTAAAAATGAATTACATACATATACCTTTATATTTTTATCATTTTATGAATAGAC